ATTATATTCGTGTTAAGCTTGCACATACGCCTCATTAGCTCAGTGGTTAGAGCACTGGTCTTGTAAACCAGGGGTCCAGAGTTCAACTCTCTGATGAGGCTTTTGCATACTTTTGTATTTACAAAAGAATATATGGAACTATAGCAACTATATGATTTATCCTACTCGGAGCCCGAAGTGCTAACCATTACACCACAGGACATAAACACCTAGAAAATTACTCAGAAATTCCTGAATCTACAGTATATCTATGCACGCCCATTATAAGATAAAGTAATTATATTCCCTGTATTCCAGGTATGGACTCCCATTTTACAAATTTATAGAACATGCGTGTGTCCCAGAGAGTCATTGAAAAAACACTAAACTGCAAGGATTATTTATCAATCAAACGGATTGTTGCAACGATAATAAGTTGGGTTTTTTTAATTCACTAATTAGTTCGATAAAAATGTTGGATTTTTTTTTCTTTTATAAAAGAGAAGGGAGCGAGCGGAGTTGAACCACTGACCTCTCGATCTGCAGTCGAATGCTCTACCACTGAGCTACACTCCCTGATCGTGCATACCTGTTTGATGCTATTCTCCTAAAAGAACATTTCTTGCTGTTCTTACCTTATTCGAAATGGCACAAGTTTTATATTCATAGCATAGATGCAGTGTGTAGCAAGCAGGGTGGCGCAGTGGAAGCGTGCTGGGCCCATAACCCAGAGGTCAATGGATCGAAACCATTTCCTGCTAAAGTTATCATTTCAATAAAAAAGATCTTTTCGAAATCTTATTCAAAACATATATAATTTTTTTCTCAAATGGGCTATAAGAGAAAACCAGAGCTAAAAAATTTACATAAAGACATAGAATTAACAGTTCCAGAAAGGTTCTATCGAGAATTGAACTCGAATTCCCGGATTCAAAGTCCGAAGTGTTAACCATTACACCACAGAACCTAACCATCTACTGAAAGACACAGCAGAAATTGGTGTTTGAGACATTTCAACCCTGAAATCTAATCGCTGGTTCACAATTGTGTATTTCTGTACCGCTATCAAAGAGAAACCTTTTGAATAGCATGAAAAAGTTCAATTTTTCTTCCGAATACGTTATCTGCAATCTTTTGACGACTCATCATATACATCTGACCCGCGCTGTGATGTATAGTCTATATACACTCACATTATTAAGATGAAGTATTTACATATTCCCCCTATTCCAGGTATGGAGCCCTGGTTTACAAATATAATATAGAACATGCATGTGTCCCAGAGAGTCATTCAAAAAACCTAAACTGCATGGATTGTTTATCAAACGTACGGCTTTTTCCCACCGCGAAAATAAACTGGGATTTTTCATGCACTAATGGGTACCATAAAAATATTTAATTTTTCTTTAATTTATAGAACAGGAAAGAGCGAGCGGAGTTGAACTACTGACCCCAGTGAGCTGTCAACCTGCAGTCGGATGCTCTACCACTATATGCTACTCTCTCTGAGCGTTCCATGCAGCATACCTGTCATATGCTATATTTTTAGATACCTGTAAGAGAAAGCCTGAAATATAAAAATACCTAAAGACGGACAATGAATGTTTTCAAAGAGTTTCTACCAAGAATTGAACTCCGCTTCTCGAAGTCAGAGTCCGAAGTGATAACCATTACACCACAGACTCTAAAAATCTATCAAACTTACTGACGAATGTTGGCTGCATAGTATATAATTATGTAGTTTGCTACGCGCATGCACATTATTAAGATAGTAAATTCGTATAATTATTCGTGTAAGCTTGCACATACGCCTCATTAGCTCAGTGGTTAGAGCACTGGTCTTGTAAACAAGGGGTCCAGAGTTCAACTCTCTGATGAGGCTTTTGCATACTTTTGTATTTACAAAAGAATATATGGAACTATAGCAACTATATGATTTATCCTACTCGGAGCCCGAAGTGCTAACCATTACACCACAGGACATAAACACCTAGAAAAATTACTCAGAAATTCCTGAATCTACAGTATATCTATGCACGCCCATTATAAAGATAAAGTAATTATATTCCCTGTATTCCAGGTATGGACTCCCGTTTTACAAATTTATAGAACATGCGTGTGTCCAGAGAGTCATTGAAAAAACACTAAACTGCAAGGATTATTTATCAATCAAACGGATTGTTGCAACGAAAATAAGTTGGGTTTTTTTAATTCACTAATTAGTTCGATAAAAATGTTGGATTTTTTTTTCATTTATAAAAGAGAAGGGAGCGAGCGGAGTTGAACCACTGACCTCTCGATCTGCAGTCGAATGCTCTACCACTGAGCTACACTCCCTGATCGTGCATAACTGTTTGATGCTATTCTCCTAAAAGAACATTTCTTGCTGTTCTTACCTTATTCGAAATAGCACAAAATTTATATTCATAGCATAGATGCAGTGTGTAGCAAGCAGGGTGGCGCAGTGGAAGCGTGCTGGGCCCATAACCCAGAGGTCAATGGATCGAAACCATTTCCTGCTAAAGTTATCATTTCAATAAAAAAGATCTTTTCGAAATCTTATTCAAAAACATATATTTTTTCTCAAATGGGCTATAGCAGAAAGAGCTAAAAAATTTACATAAAGACATAAAATTAACAATTCCAGCAAGAAGTTCTACCGAGAATTGAACTCGGATTCCCGGATTCAAAGTCCGAAGTGCTAACCATTACACCACAGAACCTAACCATCTGCTAAAAGACACAGCAGAAATTGGTGTTTGAGACATTTCAACCCGGAAATCTATTCGCTGGTTCACAATTGTGTATTTCTTTACCGCTATCAAAGAGAAACCTTTTGAATAGCATGAAAAAGTTCAATTTTTCTAAGTTATTGCAATCTTTTGACGACTCATCATTTACATCTGACCCGCGCTGTGATGTATAGTCTATATACACGCACATTATTAAGATGAAGTATTTACATATATTCCCCCTATTCCAGGTATGGAGCCTAGTTTACAAATATATATGGAACATGCATGTGTCCCAGAGAGTCATTCAAAAAACCTAAACTGCATGGATTGTTTATCAAACGTACGGCTGTTTCCCACGAAAAAAAAAAGGGATTTTTCATGCACTAATGGGTACCATAAAAATATTTAATTTATCTTTAATTTATAGAACAGGAAGGAGCGAGCGGAGTTGAACCACACCTGAAGTAGGATGCTCTACCACAATATGCTACTCTCTCTGAGCGTTCCTGGCATACCTGTCATATGCTATATTCTTAGATACCTGTAAAGAAATCCTGAATAAAAAAATACGTAAAGACGGAGAATGAATGTTTTCAAAGAGTTTCTACCAAGAATTGAACTCCGATTCTCGAAGTAAAAGTCCGAAGTGATAACTATTACACCGCAGACCCTAAAAATCTATCAAACTTTATGACGAATGTTGGCTGCATAGTATATTATTATATAGTTTGCTACACGCATGCACATTATTAAGATAAAGTATTCATATAATTATATTCGTGTGAAGCTTGCACATACGCCACATTAGCTCAGTGGTTAGAGCACTGGTCTTGTAAACCAGGGGTCCAGAGTTCAACTCTCTGATTAGGCATTTCCATACTTTTGTATTTACAAAAGTATATATGCAACTATAGCAACTATATAATTTATCCTACTCGGAGCCCGAAGTGCTAACCATTACAACACAGGACATAAACACCTAGAAAAATTACTGAGAAATTCCTGGCTCTACAGTGTATCTATGCACGCCCATTATAAAGATAAAGTAATTATATTCCCTGTATTCCAGGTATGGACTCCCGTTTTACAAATTTATAGAACATGCGTGTGTCCCAGAGAGTCATTGAAAAAACACTAAAGTGCAAGGATTATTTATCAATCAAACGGATTGTTGCAACGAAAATAAGTTGGGTTTTTTTAATTCACTAATTAGTTCGATAAAAATGTTGGATTTTTTTTTCTTTTATAAAGGAGAAGGGAGCGAGCGGAGTTGAACCACTGACCTCTCGATCTGCAGTCGAATGCTCTACCACTGAGCTACACTCCCTGATCGTGCATACCTGTTTGATGCTATTCTCCTAAAAGAACATTTCTTGCTGTTCTTACCTTATTCGAAATGGCACAAGTTTTATATTCATAGCATAGATGCAGTGTGTAGCAAGCAGGGTGGCGCAGTGGAAGCGTGCTGGGCCCATAACCCAGAGGTCAATGGATCGAAACCATTTCCTGCTAAAGTTATCATTTCAATAAAAAAGATCTTTTCGAAATCTTATTCAAAAACATATATTAATTTTTTTCTCAAATGGGCTATAAGAGAAAACCAGAGCTAAAAAATTTACATAAAGACATAGAATTAACAGTTCCAGAAAGGTTCTATCGAGAATTGAACTCGGATTCCCGGATTCAAAGTCCGAAGTGTTAACCATTACACCACAGAACCTAACCATCTACTGAAAGACACAGCAGATATTGGTGTTTGAGACATTTCAACCCGGAAATCTAATCGCTGGTTCACAATTGTGTATTTCTGTACCGCTATCAAAGAGAAACCTTTTGAATAGCATGAAAAAGTTCAATTTTTCTTCCGAATACGTTATCTGCAATCTTTTGACGACTCATCATATACATCTGACCCGCGCTGTGATGTATAGTCTATATACACTCACATTATTAAGATGAAGTATTTACATATATTCCCCCTATTCCAGGTATGGAGCCCTGGTTTACAAATATAATATAGAACATGCATGTGTCCCAGAGAGTCATTCAAAAAACCTAAACTGCATGGATTGTTTATCAAACGTACGGCTTTTTCCCACCGCAAAAATAAACTGGGATTTTTCATGCACTAATGGGTACCATAAAAATATTTAATTTTTCTTTAATTTATAGAACAGGAAAGAGCGAGCGGAGTTGAACTACTGACCCCAGTGAGCTGTCAACCTGCAGTCGGATGCTCTACCACTATATGCTACTCTCTCTGAGCGTTCCATGCAGCATACCTGCACTGTAAATCTCGGAGTGTTGGCACAACACCGAAATCGGTGTAAAATCTTGCAGCAATATGAACACTAATATGGTGTTTATTTACGCTATATTTTGGGTTAATTTACACTATTCATGGGTAGAATTTATGCAGCTATGGGTACACTATGGCGACGTAAATATACACCATTAGCGTAAACTAACACCTCTATAGGTTTTCCTACACCTATTTCGCGTAAAAACGCTTGCAGCAATATGAACACCAACTTCGTGTATAAATACACCGCGAGAGTAAACTTACCCCTCCCAAGGTTTTTCTACGCCTATTTAGTGTAAACGTGCTTGCAGCAATATGGACACCGACCTAGTGTATAAATACACCGCGAGGGTAAACTTACCCCTCCAAAGGTTTTTCTACGCCCATTTAGTGTATACGTGCTTGCAGTAATATGGACACCGATCTGGTGTATAAATACACCGCGAGGGTAAACTTACCCTTCCAAAGGGTTTTCTACGCCTATTTAGTGTAAATATGCTTTCAGTAATATAGACACCGATCTGGTGTATAAGTACACCAAAAGAATAAAAATGCTCTTCTAAACAATGGCCCGGTGCCACGAAATGAATTAATTCTAGTGCAGTGGTAAGGTAAAAACATATTTATTTCTATATGACAGAATATATTACATTATATTATATTGTACATAACAAATTTACAAACCAGCTATATAACATGGACTTATGCCTAATACTTCATGTTCACTGTTCCAGTTCATTTAAGAATAATAAAACTTTGGTTGGCACTCTTACCCGGTCAAAAATATTTAGAACAGTACGTTGTAAAAAAAGGAACGTGTTAAAACACTGTTTCGGGTACTCTAAATTACAAACATAATACAAAAACAAAAGGGACGATACTGCTGAAAAAATGTTATCTGTTTCCAAACAAACTTGTTTTTCCCCTGCAACAAACATTTTGTTCATTATGTGACCATCACTGTCCTCCACGAAGATGATGAATGGGCTGATGGGGCTGGCAGCTTTCTTCAACAATACCTCTGGGTTTTCTGCTGTCTACATTTGAAATAAAATTTTTTTTAAAAAATCATAACAAAGTCTTCATATTAAAACTATTCATGATTGACCACTTAACAGACCACTAGCTTACACTTATCATGACAATACATTTTTCCAAAAGGTGGTGTAATAACATTGATAAGCATTGACAAGGTACTAAAGTATATTATACATACCTGATAAAGGAAATTTTCTGGATGTGGATTACTTTTTGTTTTCCTTTCCAAAAGGTGTGGCAAGGTACAAAGTGCCACAACAACTTTCTCATCTAGGAACAAAGAAAAAATTACATAATTAATCTTAATTATTGCTCTGACTGTGTTAATAAAGAAGGAGAATAATCACAATAGGGTGTATATATTGAAACCACACAGCATAATAATTAACTTTTGATAGTGAAAATATATTCATTTAAATGAGTATCAATGGGATTACCATCTGTCAATCTGTTCTCCTCATCCAGTTCATCCTCATTTTGTACGCAAGCTTGAACCAGTTCTTCAAGTTGAGGGAGTTTCTTCTTGCTGGCAGCTTTCAAAATCTTAGGTGCAAGCTCACGTAAGTTTGTAACAACCAAATCTTTAACACTACTGCCAGACACCAATCTTTCATACTCATCTTGTAACTATAAAAAATCAATATAAGTTATAAGAGTAATTTAAAAGTAACTTATCAATCATATTACCCAGTGCCGGATTATATGTTTATGCACAGATATTACTAACTATATAATACTAACCTGATCATGTTCAAATAAAAAAGGGTATTTCGCATCAATTTCATTAAGGGAACACTTCCCAGCATTTATGTACTTTCTTCTGAAGGAGAAAGTCAGTTGCATTTTCTGCTTAACGACTTCCATGTTTGGGTGCTTTTTTCGGTACTCCTTCTGCATCCATTGAACATGGGCTTTGTTAGAATGTAGGTCCTCACCATCAACAGCAGGAGGTTCCCAATTTATTATTCCCCTTCGGCTGCTTCCTGGCACCTTAGCTGTCAAATCCGAGCCTTCAATTGACTTTCTTTTTCTTGCTAGCACAACTGGATCACTCCTTTCATGCCTTAATTCATTTTTAACTTTATCGCCTAACTGACGATACCAGGTTTCCTAAGGAAAAATTATATGGTCTCAGTATTTTTCATTAATACATGGTTTCAGTATTAACATACAAAGCAACAGTGTTTTCCCCTTCACATGTAAATCATCTGGCATCAGATATCAGGCCATGATGGGATTTCAATAAGGCTTGTGAAATAATATTGGTACATGAACTTTTCACAATCATAGTCCAATACATAATAAGCCACAGGAAATGTTAAAAAAGAGCAAACAAATAATTGCAAAAAAATAATGCTAAATCATTAAAATATTACTTACATAGCTGCCACCAACATCTGCCAAGGAAGGATATTTTGATATAATTGCCCTACATACATCACGGCGTTGGTCAGGTGTTGGTGAACTAAAATGTATTAAAATGAATAAAATTAAATAACAAACAATTCAGTTTAATGTGTCCTACATAAGCAAACCTACATACTGTAGCCCCAGAAGTGCTGGTCACTTCACTTTCATGCAACACAGTAAAAAAAGTATACATACATTGTAAAAAGGCATATCTTGTCATAAATCGCCTGGATAAATTTCACACGAATCAACTTTGGTAAGGCTATATTCTTTGACAAGGCTTCTTGTACAGCTGGGGGAAATCGTTCAGGTAGGCAAAATGGTGTAACCCAGGTTTTTCTTACAGTGGAGCAATCATTCCTAAAAAGAATTAATTTTGTGGATAATTCGTTAAGTCTTAACCTATTAAGCATTAGGTGTGTTTACTGAAACATGGGGGGGGGGTTAGGGGGTATTTACACACTGCTAGAAGTCACAGATAATTTGCAACTGTGAATTATGCTTTCAAAATTAGGCTAAACTTGCTTTACATGTTTTGAAATTGTTACATCTTAGTGAAGTAACGATCAGTTACATAAATAAGGACACCTGAATGTACTCGATTTATACACATACCTTGGTATTGGCGAAGAACAACGAGGCGAATCTTGATCTTTAGAGTTATTTGGGCATTCTAAATCCCAAGGCAAACGTGACAAGCTACCACTGTTGCCGCTTTCAACAGACTCAGAATCACTCCTAACCATCTTCTTAATAACGCCTAAAAGCTTCATTCTTGGCCCAACTTTGTCGACAAGAGACTCGAGTGCATTCTCAGATAAAAGAGCGAGCGCTTCACCGTCAACATCCTCTTCTAGTTTCACAAATACAAATACAAACAGGAATTTATATTGTGACGAGTGATATGAACGCTAATATAATCAATCGGAACAACAAATAAACTAAATTGAGAATCTAAATAAGTAAAAGTGAACTAGCTCTGTAGGCTATAAACAACGATTAGCTTGGAGTATTTATCTCTATAATAAAACTCACCGATAAATTTATCACTAAACGTTTCAAATCCATTGAGTTTAAGCCATTCCGATACTTCTTCGCACGAATAAGCGATGGATGGGACCTTATCCATTATCGGAATTTCAAAAATTTTGTGATGCCGATATAAATAACAATGTTTCAACTTTCAACTGTCAAGAGTCAACACGTGTTGTATATAATCACTTATCTGTGTATATAACCCCAGTGTTTGTAAATAGGTTTGCAGTAATCACTATTGGTTTGAATCGCTTATTGGTCGGATTGTCTGCATTGTCTGAAACGTGATTGGTTTAGAATAGTGCGTTACGATTGGTCAAAGAAAATATCAACTTATAATTATCCTCTATTCAGCTGAAGCTCTGGCTTACAATATTTTTTAATTAAAATACTTTATTATCGTAACAATTTGGAACAAAAATGCCCTCGAAAATCGCAAGGTATTTAGGATGCTTTGTGACGTCGAACATATTATATTATACGAACATTATTATATACACAGCATAATCTTGTATCCACCGGCCCACTAGTGCATCCTCAGTGAGGGTCATGTTTTCGAAAGTGGAAGCACTGTTATTGTGTTTTTCGAACTTTTGCATAGATGCAAATATTATTTTAATTTTTTATATTATTTTTATACCAGCATGGTTGGATAATGGCGAGTAGTTTTCTTTGTCCAAAACCGGAGTGTTTTCATCTTTCCTTTACTACATTCAATCGTTTTTTAAACCACCTACGCGATAATCACATTCATGAGCCAGGGTTCAAAATAAAATGTCCAGTGCAGTCATGCTTTCGCTCATATTCTGTTCTCTCCTCTCTAACTTCGCATGTTTCCCGTAAACATGGAAAGGAAAAAGTAATAAATGATGACGTTGGTTCAAGAAATCCCGAAAACGATGCACTAAACCGATTGGATAATACAATCGAATGTATACCGAAGACACCCAAGACAGGAGAGGCTTTCTCAAAGAGACATTTAGCTTTATTTGCCCTAAAGACGCAAGAATTAAATCAACTAACTGACAGTACAACAAACAAGGTGATAGATAATACAACAGAATTACTCCAACAACACGAGGCCCATGTTAAAGAAAAGATTAGACTGTGTTTGGATAAAAGTGGGATTAAAATCAGTGATATTGATGGATTGGGAGTTGTCATGAACTTGGAACAAACACCCAACATGGAATTCCTGAAATCCACTAAGAATAGGAACAATTATATATCTCAAGAATTTAAGATAGTGGTATGTATATAGTAATGTATTTTTATGTATGGTTGTAAACAATGTCTAACAATGTCTGATTAGTTTATATTAAATGCTGAGTGCATCCTTATCTTACTTATATTTAGAATCCAATTGAGATAGTCCTTGGGGAGAAATATATGTATGATGAGAATACAACGAATGGTTCATCGAAAGTGAAAGTGCATTCATTCCAGTACATATCATTCATCCAGGTCCTTCAACAGCTGCTAAATCAAATTGATGTTTACTCACAGGTCATTATTCATATAACAACTATAAGTGTCCTGGAAATTTATAATATGACTACCATAATATGACTACCATATTATGATATAATATATTTTAATTGATATTTTTTTTAGATTGAAAATTCTCATAGAAGTGTTGATGGGAAAATGAGGGACCTTTGTGATGGTGCTGATTTTGGAGTGGGCAAACATCCACTTTTTTCCTTAAATTATAAGGCTATCCAATTAATTTTATATTATGATGACTTCGAAGTTTCCAATCCACTAGGATCAAAAGCTGTTGTACATAAAATTGGTAGGTTTTTTTATTGTCACAAGATCAACAACTTTGCAATATTGGACTTTGATAGTTCAATTGGATTACTTTTTAAAAAAACACTGATCTGTCAATAAACATTTTCATTTTTATTTGCATACTTGCAGGTGCCTTCTATTGGGTGTTAGGAAATTTCCATCCCAAGTATAGATCATGCCTAAAAAATTTGAATCTTTTGATTCTTTGTCCAGTCAAGTGGATTAAGATGTATGGTATGGATAAAGTCCTCAGGCCATTCATGAGTGACCTTGCTATGCTTGAATCAGTAAGTAATGAATTAATACAATACATTTTATTGTGAATATCACCAATTATCAATATATTCAAGATTCCCTATTAAAGAATTTGCCTCAAGCTTGCCAAGAAATATGAGTTATAAATCTAATGCATCTCAAAATGTAATTTTGCTACTTTTTTCAGGAACATGGCGTACAACTCAATATAGCAAATCAAATTATTCCAATTAAAGGAACATTAAGTGTAGTAATTGCAGATAACCTTGGTAGCAATTCAATTGGAGGTTTCATGGAGAGTTTCAGTGCAAATCGGCCGTGTAGGTTCTGTCTGGGCACATCGGTGGAATTTCAAGAAAGGGTAATTTATTAATCATATCACAAATTGCAATGCTACTAAAATATTGTGAATCATGGTATATTAGTACACAGTTTTTTGTAGGAAATGCTATTGATATCATGAGATTTTAATGGGTGTTAATCAATGTTTGTTAATGTATGTTGTTCAGATTTGATTATACCAACCAGTATAATATCCAACTATTTAAATTTCCAGTTTTCTGAAGAATTATTCACGATGAGATCCCGAGAAAATTATGCCAGGCAGGTGGATTTGGTTTCCACTGATCCAGAATCAGCTTCTGTATATGGTGTAAAAAAGAACTCAGCCCTAAATGCTTCTAAATATTTCCATGTTGTTGATGGACTTCCTTCTGATATCATGCATGATATCTTAGAAGGTGTACTTCCTTTCCAAATTAAAGCGATGTTGAGAAAATTCATCATGGTGGATAAATTTTTCACACTTGATCAGTTCAACCGCGCTTTCAGCATTCCCATATGGTGTTTGTGACATCAAGAACAAACCAAGCTTGGTAAAGAATGTCAATCTTAGTGATTACCATTTACGCCAATCAGGTATTTAACTATTTATTTAAGAGTTGCCTTAAACCTGAGGATGACTACATCAACCACCGGTCCCAAGTTCCCATAGTTCTTTTAAAAGTTCTTATAGAATCAGTGTTTAGTCAGTGTTTTGATATAATGCTAGCACTAATTGAGTTATATTTCAGCATCACAAATGTGGTGTCTTTCTAGAATCCTGCCATTTTTGGTTCACAAATGGATACCAGAAGGAAATGATGACTGGGAATTGTTCACTGATTTAATGCATATTGTTGATATATTGTTTGCCCCAGTGATTGAGAAAGGTACTACACTCTATCTTCGGCTCATAATCAGCGAGTATCTGGAACAGTTTAAAAGGCTCTATCCTGAAAGAAAACTTATTCCAAAACAGCATTTCATGGTTCATTACCCAAACCAAATTCTAAGGTATGTCTATATTGATCTGGTTCTCACAGGTGGTGGCTTCAATGCTGAACACCCCAGTACATTTGATAATTTTAATTATTTATTTTATATATTTTAGATATGGACCCCTTGTGCGCAACTGGTGCATGCGCTTTGAGGCTAAGCATCATTATTTTAAGCTTTTGGCGCAGACTGTAGGTTGCTTCAAGAATATAGCAAAGACATTAGCTACCAGGCACCAACGGCTTCAGTGTTACTGGCTTAGTGACAGTGATGGCTATTTAAGGAGTGATACTGAGGTTGGACCAGGTTAGTGAACAACAAAAGTGCATACTGGATATTAGCTGGAATTTTGTAATGGTTTTTAGGATGTTAAATGTTGTTATAAGTATCCTTTATTTCTACTTCATGTATTTATTAATATTCTGCTTAGGTAAAGTTTTTTATGTGAAGGATCTGGAAGAGAAAGAATGCACCTCACTGTGCCAGTTGGGCAACAATTTGGATCAGAATTCAACTGTGACACTGTAAGTTTGTTCTTATATATGGTAAAAATTATTTAAAACTGGACTGAAAAGTGAAAACTATATTCTATTCTAGGTTGAATTGGGTGAAAGTCAATGGTTACAAGTACAAAAAGAATATGATCATAGTCTATCAGCAATTAATTTTTCCTGTGTTTCTTTTTATACATAATGTTTTTTTTATGCCAAACATGGATGTTATGTTTTCTTGCAAGAAAGTAAATACAGTTGCTTTTAGCAGGCACATTCATTGCTATGAGGTTGAAGTTTTGGACGAATTTGTGCCCTTATTATTTTCTGGGATGCTAGATCATCATCCTCTAGATCTTTATACCATTATTGTAAATAGAGAATCAAAACACTTTGTAAGAATGAAGTACGACCTATCTGATGCTGAACAATAGTATACATATGTTAAAGAAATTATTAAACATATTAAAGAAATTCAGTAAATAAATGAATTGTCTGACCCATGATACTGTGCCTGCCTGGAAACATTTAACGAAAAAACTGCATGTGCATGCCTGCTTAGGAACATTTGACGAAAACACGTTTTCGTACCTGGTATACAAATTGTTGTGACCCAGGGTCTATTGGTCTCTTAGTATGTAGTCAATTCCCATTCGTTTGTATCTATACAACCATATACTTTTTATTTTGCAACAAATCAAGCATTTTCCGTCGCGGTCTTAATTTATAAGGCATTGAATTTTGTACACAATTTAGATGTAAGTTTACGCTCTTCAAGTGCAATTTTAAAACTCATATCGGGTAAATATACACCGTAGACGGTAAATTTACAACGCTCTCGGTGTTTAATAACCTTGCTTTTACTTACACCAGATCACGGTACATTCACGTTTTTTTGGTGTATTAATACAAAAACCAAAGTGTAGATATACACTTATCGAGTGTAAGCATATCTTACACTAAACAGGTGTATACTAACGCAACCGTTCAGTGTAATATAACCTGAGCAGTAGGTAAATGTATGCCATTTTTAGGTAAAAAAACACCAAATTTGGTGTAACCTAGGTTTGTTTGTTTTTACACCGAGAAAGTGTTATAGAAACGCTAGCATAGTGTAGAGTTACGCTTTTTAAGTGTATTGCTACACTCCAATGGTGTTTGACTTGGCAAAACACCTAATCGGTGTTATCCTACACCAGTTTCGTGTTGGCGTAACACTGCGAAATTTACAGTGTGTCATATGCTATATTTTTAGATACCTGTAAGAGAAAGCCTGAAATAAAAAATACCTAAGAGGACAATGAATGTTTTCAAAGAGTTTCTACCAAGAATTGAACTCCGCTTCTCGAAGTCAGAGTCCGAAGTGATAACCATTACACTACAGACTCTAAAAATCTATCAAACTTACTGACGAATGTTGGCTGCATAGTATATAATTATGTAGTTTGCTACGCGCATGCACATTATTAAGATAAAGTATTCGTATAATTATATTCGTGTTAAGCTTGCACATACGCCTCATTAGCTCAGTGGTAGAGCACTGTCTGTAACCAGGGGTCCAGAGTTCAACTCTCTGATGAGGCTTTTGCATACTTTTGTATTTACAAAAGAATATATGGAACTATAGCAACTATATGATTTATCCTACTCGGAGCCCGAAGTGCTAACCATTACACCACAGGACATAAACACCTAGAAAATTACTCAGAATTCCTGAATCTACAGTATATCTATGCACGCCCATTATAAAGATAAGTAATTATATTCCTGTATCCAGGTATGGACTCCCATTTTACAAATTTATAGAACATGCGTGTGTCCAGAGAGTCATTGAAAAAACACTAAACTGCAAGGATTATTTATCAATCAAACGGATTGTTGCAACGATAATAAGTTGGGTTTTTTTAATTCACTAATTAGTTCGATAAAAATGTTGGATTTTTTTTCTTTATAAAAGAGAAGGGAGCGAGCGGAGTTGAACCACTGACCTCGATCTGCAGTCGAATGCTCTACCACTGAGCTACACTCCCTGATCGTGCTACCTGTTTGTGCTATTCTTAAAGAACATTTCTTGCTGTTCTTACCTTATTCGAAATGGCACAAGTTTTATATTCATAGCATAGATGCAGTGTGTAGCAGCAGGGTGGCGCAGTGGAAGCGTGCTGGGCCCATAACCAGAGGTCAATGGATCGAAACCATTTCCTGCTAAAGTTATCATTTCAATAAAAAAGATCTTTTTCGAAATCTTATTCAAAACATATATTAATTTTTTTCTCAATGGGCTATAAGAGAAAACCAGAGCTAAAAATTTACATAAAGACATAGAATTAACAGTTCCAGAAAGGTTCTATCGAGAATTGAACTCGAATTCCCGGATTCAAAGTCGAAGTGTTAACCATTACACCACAGAACCTAACCATCTACTGAAAGACACAGCAGAAATTGGTGTTTGAGACATTTCAACCCTGAAATCTAATCGTGGTTCCAATTGTGTATTTCTGTACCGCTATCAAGAGAAACTTTTGAATAGCATGAAAAGTTCAATTTTTCTTCCGAATACGTTATCTGCAATCTTTTGACGACTCATCATATACATCTGACCCGCGCTGTGATGTTACGTCTATATACACTCACATTATTAAGATGAAGTATTTACATATTCCCCTATTCCAGGTATGGAGCCCTGGTTTACAAATATAATATAGAACATGCATGTGTCCCAGAGAGTCATTCAAAAACTAAACTGCATGGATTGTTTTCAAACGTAAGGCTTTTTCCCACCGCGGAAAATAAACTGGATTTTTCATGCACTAATGGGTACCATAAAAATATTTAATTTTTCTTTAATTTATAGAACCAGGAAAGAGCGAGCGGAGTTGAACTACTGACCCCAGTGAGCTGTCAACCTGCAGTCGGATGCTCTACCACTATATGCTACTCTCTCTGAGCGTTCCATGCAGCATACCTGTCATATGCTATATTTTTAGATACCTGTAAGAGAAAGCCTGAAATATAAAAATACCTAAAGACGGACAATGAATGTTTTCAAAGAGTTTCTCCAAGAATTGAACTCCGCTTCTCGAAGTCAGAGTCCGAAGTGATAACCATTACACCACAGACTCTAAAAAATCTATCAAACTTACTGACGAATGTTGGCTGCATAGTATATAATTATGTAGTTTGCTACGCGCATGCACATTTAAGATAAAGTATTCGTATAATTATATTCGTGTTAAGCTTGCACATACGCCTCATTAGCTCAGTGGTTAGAGCACTGGTCTTGTAAACAAGGGGTCCAGAGTTCAACTCTCTGATGCATGAGGCTTTTGCATACTTTTGTATTTACAAAAGAATATATGGAACTATAGCAACTATATGATTTATCCTACTCGGAGCCCGAAGTGCTAACCATTACACCACAGGACATAAACACCTAGAAAAATTACTCAGAAATTCCTGAATCTACAGTATATCTATGCACGCCCATTATAAAGATAAAGTAATTATATTCCCTGTATTCCAGGTATGGACTCCCGTTTTACAAATTTATAGAACATGCGTGTGTCCCAGAGAGTCATTGAAAAAAACACTAAACTGCAAGGATTATTTATCAATCAAACGGATTGTTGCAACGAAAATAAGTTGGGTTTTTTTAATTCACTAATTAGTTCGATAAAAATGTTGGATTTTTTTTTCATTTATAAAAGAGAAGGGAGCGAGCGGAGTTGAACCACTGACCTCTCGATCTGCAGTCGAATGCTCTACCACTGAGCTACACTCCCTGATCGTGCATAACTGTTTGATGCTATTCTCCTAAAAGAACATTTCTTGCTGTTCTTACCTTATTCGAAATAGCACAAAATTTATATTCATAGCATAGATGCAGTGTGTAGCAAGCAGGGTGGCGCAGTGGAAGCGTGCTGGGCCCAAACCCAGAGGTCAATGGATCGAAACCATTTCCTGCTAAAGTTATCATTTCAATAAAAAAAGATCTTTCGAAATCTTATTCAAAAACATATATTTTTTCTCAAATGGGCTATAGCAG